ATTTAGTAGTTATATTTTTATATTTTGACCAACCTTGATCTCAAATTCCATTTTTTTTACGCAATAAAGCGCTTATAGTGTTGCTTGTCATACCATTTTTTATTCTAACCATGTTTTTTAATTTACTACACAAGGTGGAGCTCATTTTTTAAGTAGAATGCTAATTTCTTAGTAATAAATCGGCAAAATCTTTACCACATTGCGAATTCCTAAACTTTTTTCATTTATCCCATCAGCAGGTCGATGGTGACCGGCTGTCCCACGGTGTGTCTCACTTCAAAAGCAAATGTGCCGATGATTAATGCAATTTTTACGTTCCACCTTGAAGTGTCCTCCGAACATGTGCCATCGTAAATATTGCGCGAAATCGCCGCCGAGATCATTATCTGGCATTACACATTCACATGCAGATAATTTCCACAAGGTAATTATACATATTTCTCAGAGAGACGACCAAAGCAACATCTGCGTGCGTTTTTCTTTTTTGCGTGCCGAGAAAAACTGATATCGCATGGCAGCTCACGATGTGCGAGAGGGAATTAAAAATGATGCAGATCCATGCGGAAAAAGTTCATTTTTCGCCAGATTTCTGCTGCGGCGCAATTAAAATTCGTGACGAAAAGTGCCCAGAGATAGCGATCTTGATATAAACAAACTTTTTGTACAAATAAATGAAAAACGTGCGTTTATACAAATTAATCGGTATTTCAGCATCCAAGAGAGGAATTTTCGGATTTTTCTATTCTGGGAAAAGTTTGGACGAAACTAGTTTCTGCCGAAATTGTGTGACTTACAAAGCATAATCTTTAAAAAATCTGTGACCGCTTCATTCCAGAGTACTATAATTTAGAATCAAGAGAATATGCGAGGACAATAAGAACGACTCGTTCTTTTCTTTTCCAGCATTTATCTGCCGCGACATCAAATAAATAAACACCTCCGAGTCTTCTTTATGCACATTATCTCGGAATTCGATCGTCAGCAGGTGAGCCCTTTCTTTTCTCCGTGTTGGGAAGAGCCGCATATTTTCGTGGTCCGTGCTGATTATCAGTTCCAGTAAACATGTCCTTTTCTGTGCATATATAAAGTATCCTTTCTCAAATAATCGGCAATTAAATCCAGATTCTTAACAGCCGTGTGGAAATGAGCACAAAAAGAATAAAAAAACAAGCAATGTTGGTTTCGGGGAATCGCAGCGGCCGCCGAGTGCACGCACTCGAGAGATCCTCCCACAGATTATTACTGTGGTGTACCAAACGCGGAGGACACTTTATGGCGTTTCTCTTGATTAGCCTAATCTTTTCCTCGACACGCTGACTGGGAGGGATTCGCCTTACACTCAAATTTCGTGGAAATGGAACTGAAAAGTCCAAGAGTGGCTCTTGTTGAGATCGGTTAAGGATAAACGAGAAGAGAGAACAAGAGATGAACAATTTTTGCTGGGAAAACCTTGGTCTTCGTGAATACAGGGGTGTGGATGTGGATAATGTTCATTGTGAAAAAAGGACGAATATATTGAAGTGCACATAAATCTCACAAGTTCAAGTGTATAATTATTAAATTATATACAGAAAAGCTTAAAACAGTTGCAAGATGCAATAAGATATATTAATTTTTGCATTCAATTTATATCACATAGTTAATTAATTTTTTTTCTTTTTTCTTAAACCATTGTAAGATGATGAAATTGATCACTAATTAATATCAATTTCCTTTTTTATGTAGGTGCTTTTGTTGATTTAATTACCTAATGGTTTAAATTATGCAGTTGCTTTACCCTGCCTAAAATTTTGAAAAAGTGGAGACAAATTTGTTTTAAACAAAATTTAGATTTTTGTTAATTTTTTTTTTATTTTGGTCAATATTTTTAAGACGAATATTTGAAATTTTAATCTTACGCATGGTTTATATTAATTTGGAAAAATTCTTTTTCATGTACCCGCATAATATCATATTCATCAAAAAGCAAAGAGTCCAATGAATACGCTGGAGTAAGTTGGCAGCGTGCGACACAAAAGAGAAGAGTCTCTTATAAAGGAGTCGCACAAACATCAGGTATATTATAATATGAACTGAGAAGGTGCGTGTTTTGACTGGGGCAGGTTGGCGGTGTCAAGAAAATAAAATTAAGAGCGCGACGCGAGAGTAAATCTCTAATCCCTTCTACAGTGGAAAACACTTAAAACATTTTTATAGCAAAGGGCGCTCGCTCGCTCTCTCGGATCCTGTTTTGTTCTTATTACCAGATGATATAAAATCACGAGAGACGCGCGCGAGCGAGCGAAAGAAAAAGAGACGCTTTTTCTGAGTGACCCTCAAGGTCGAGCTGAATATACCGGAGACGAGCATAGTGTGTGTGTACATTTTCGATGAGCGGTTTGGGACGCAGGTCACGCGCGCGCCAGGTGAACGGGGTTAGATCTGGGAGCGTGAGAATCGGCTGACTTGCTGACTGACTGATTCCGATGCTCGCTCGTCGTCCGACCCAGGGAAGACCGAGACAAAAATGAATAATTTATTATTAAAAAAAAAAAACAATTTTAGTAAAGATATTCAAACATTCAAATGAATGATTCATTTATACAATCATAAAAATTATTAAAATTTACTCAAACCTAAAAATTACATTTTTTATATATTTTTCTCCTGATAAGGTGAATTTATGAATAGGATTAATCTTTTTTAATATTTCTGAAATTTTCCACAATAAATTTCTATTTCCACTCCCTATTGTTGGACTCTTATAAAACTTCATTCATACCCAAAATGAATTGATTTTGAGTTTGTACTTAGGCCAAGACTTTATCCTTATGTTATGATTATTGACATTATTGTGTTTTAGAAAAGAAAGTGTTAAAATTTTGTTTTAAATTAAAAAATTAATTTCAGTTTCTTATATTTAAAGCAATTTTATATTTTCTTTACTATTGTGGTTTCCCCTTTCAGCTTTTATATTTCAAACATCTCGTCCTGCCGCTTTTGAGAGCTAAAAAAGTGCGCAAACAGGATATTAGCGGGGCATCTCTCGCTCACAGTCAGATGATGCGGCCACGCGGTAATTCGCATTTCGAAAGCACTCTCTGCCAAGAATAACATTTTCCCATTTGAAAACATACTGATTTAGTGCGCGTGGTTGGCACTTTAATTGAGTTTGTGTGTTTGACCTGTCATTGGGTCAGCAGTTTATGTGTGTGTGCTGGTGCAAGAGCAGTGCTTTCGATAATGTGTATGGCGTCTCTCTCGTTATAAAGCGCACGGCCGAGGCGATCGGCCGAGCAGCATTAATGATTATGAATTCAAAGAAGCCCGTAATGAACAACATTTTAAGTTTAAAAGGTGCTTCAAGTTAACGAAGGGAATGTTGCGTGTATTCCCGATTGTGAGAAAGGTCTCGTTAACGCTCAAAATTAAAATATGAACATTTTATAATTATTTAATTCACACTGTTAAAAAATAAATAAATTGCGTGGTGCCTTCTGCACCACTTATAAAGGGCACAGGCCAACAAGACTTTGTCTTGTTTATATGGCGTTTATTTAGGTAAAATCTTAATATTTTCTCATGCAATGGTCTCAAAAAAAAAAAAAAAAATACGGTTTGGTCAATTTTTGCTAAACATAGAGCATTATTTATTATAAATATATGTATGTAGCAATTTTCAGTTGTTTAAAGCTTCAACTTATTATATAAAAAATTAATAAAGAAACTTTAAAAAAAATGTCAATTATAATCAAAATGTAAAAGATTTTTATTTTCCAAGATTTTTAACAAAATTTAACAAATAATCGTGTGAAATGGCAGTGGAACAGCGTCCACTTGGAATTTGAATCAGAGATTCCGGGAGTACTCGGCGTTTCCCAGGCCATCTGTCGAGCGACAGATTCGCGTCGGCGCGATCAAAGTCTAGCGTTAATTACCTGGAGAACTATGAATGTGGCGAAGAAAAGTTTGCTTCAAACATCTAAATTATTCTCGGCCGCCGGTGACCACCTCCCGGGCAGACCGAATGGCACAACATTAACTCATTGTGTGCACATTAAATCGCAGCCCTTTCATGCTCTCTTTGATGTTGCAGCCTCCGCGTCTTTCTTTGTCTTTGGACGAGCGTGACTCGCATTTCAACTCACAATCAGCGAGCGACAGCCGTCCAGAAAAAAACCACAGCAACGTTTTCGTTGAATGTACGCGCAAAATTTTTGCTCAGGCCGAATGACAAATGGAGCGGCATCTGTCGCAATGTTCTGTCACGATAAAAATACGTTAATTTATGTTCCATACACATTTTTGATTTGAATTTCTGATGCTGGGAAAGTTCCTTTGGCCTGTCACTTTTGCCCATTAATTCTGGTACTACAAAAGCTGAATGTCCTCTCACTGCTTCAATTTAAATTTCTAAAATTTTAATTAAAAAGGAATGTTAGAAGTATTTATTTTAACTTTAAGTCTCTTTCTTGAAACTTGTTCGTAATTAAAAAGATCATTAATTCTTAACTTTTAGTTTTGGTTTCATAATATTTGTCTGCGTTTAGCAAAGAATGAAACTTTTCAATTAAACAGCAATGATCGTCATTGTGATTTGATGACACTGATTTGGTTTAATAATATTGGCCAGGTGAATTTTATAACCACGCTGATGGTTTCCTGCATTAAAAAACAATTTTTACGTCAAATGAATCTCAGTATAAAAAATTGAGCAATCAAATTATGATTTGACGCAAAATTGGAATTACTTCAAATTACGAAAATTAAATTTAAAAAGTAATAAAATTAAAAAAAAAAAATAATAATTTCAAACGAGCAAATCGTCACGCATTGACGTCACTTTTAACACTTAAATTTTTGACAGGGCCAATTTGCACTGCAGAAAAATTACCCATTTGCACATTTCCTGTGAAATTAATTGAACTAACAATAACAGAAAATATTGCAAAAATGACAAATTATCCTCGCAAAAATTGCTTTTTTTAAATTAGCAAAATTAGTAATTGGAAGTCGGCTGTGTATAAAAACTCAAAAATCGCAATGAAAAAGCATCAAATTCACCAGACTCGCAGTCCAAGAATGATGAAGTCCCTCATACTATTTGCAGCCCTGTGCGCCACAATGGTAAAACATATTATTATTATTATTTTCTTCCTTCAAAGTTTAGACTTTGAATTTGAAAATTTCGTGTATCAGGTCTTGGCCCAGGATTCCGTCCAGATTACAAAAATCGACCAACTGCCGGTGCAGCCAAAGCTCGCCGTTCGAAAGGGGGCACCAAAACCCAAGAACACGATCGGCGCACACATCATCGGAGGAACGAACGCAACCCAAGGAACTATCCCTTACCAGGCTCTGATTTACATGGACAACTCGTACATATGTGGTGGTTCTCTGCTTACCACCAGTTGGATTTTGACGGCCGCTCATTGCGTTTCGGGGTAATTTGAAAATGCAAATTAGGAAAAAATGCACTTTTTTTATTTGAATAATTTTTGTTGCATTGTTGCTACATTTTATTATCAGTTATGTGTTTATGAACTTCTGACTGATTATTTCAGTCACGTCAATTTTACCGTGTGCTTGGGGACATGGGACCGAAATAATGCTGGAGCTGAAGCGGGCAGCAAGTGTTACGTTTCATTATCTTCAATTGCACATGAAAGTTTCAACCCAACAACACTAAAAAACGACATTGGCCTTGTTAAACTACCTTCAGCCGCTGTACTAAGCAGTAAGAAATAATTGTATTTTGATTGAAAAATTTTTAAACTTTATATGATTGAATAAAAACTGACTTCTTTTAGCTTTTTATTGGATAACTAAAAAATTGTTGAAAAAAATCAACTACAACAAGTCAAATATTATTCATTCATGAACGTTTTATTGTCCAAATATTTAACCATGACATAAAAATAGCCAAGATCGCATTGACTCGTCTGCCGAGACGCAGTGACGCCACCAAGTTATATGATGGCGTTCTGGCTACCGCATCAGGCTGGGGAAGAACTTCAAGTAATATGAGGTGGAATTAAAAATGTAATTGAAATTCTAAATACTTGTTTTTCCAGACTCGACTTCCAGCGCCAGTCGTTTCCTTTTGACCGTCAAGATGACTGTGATAACCAATACTGAGTGTAATAACACCTTTACCATCACAGCCTCCAATGTCTGCACCAGCGGTGCTGGAACCAAGTCCGTTTGCAACGTAAAAAGATTTTATCTTTCCTTGTGCCGTTCTCACCACTTTCTTTGTGATTTAAAAAGGGCGACAGCGGCGGTCCTTTGACGGTCGTGGACACTGACGGACTCCCCACTCAAATCGGACTCGTCTCCTTTGGCAGCTCTGTGTCGTGCATGATTGGCTACCCGCAAGCCTACACCAGGCTCACATCTTACTTGGACTGGCTTGTGACCAAGACTGGAGTCACCCTGCGAGCCTGATCATTTTGATGATTCAAATCTGCTTTCTTTATCAAATGTGTGTCTTGCGTGAAAATAAAATTTAATCGAGCATCATAACTCACATAACTTTCATTTTATACAATGTCCGAGTTGATTGCAACCAAATGAACTATTATTTTTTTTACACAGAAACATTATAATATGCATTTTTTTACTTGTAAAATTATAAAAAGTAAAATGAACTTAACTTGCTAGCTTTATAAAACTGGGGCATATTATAGCAGAAAAAAGATGCAAAGTAGTCTTTTATTTTATCTTAAATATAATCTGAATTATTTGATGTTGAAGTTATAATTATCCTCAAAACTACCCAAAACCTATTCAATGCACAGTGTGATGACTTATTTCAGCCATCCACTTTATATTGTGTTACAATTTGTTAATAGAAAATTAAAACCAAATAATATAATGCTGGAATTGTATAATTACTTCTTTAAAAAGGGAGAGGCTAATCACGTTAAAAGTGGCGAGTAAAGTTATAAAATATAAACATTTGAACATGACGGCCTTGGCCGTTTTCCAGTCGATTCTGAAAGTTGTGGGTATGCAAAAAGTAATTGGCAATCCACGAGAAAAAGTCAGCGACGCACATTTTTCCGAAAGAGTTTCCACCCCCTATAATATCTGGATGAGATGTGTGTGCGTGTCTTCAGGTGTCGTATTGAGGCAGCTCCCGGTGTGGCGAAATCATACAGAGTACGTTTAATGAAAGGCTAATGGGAACATTCTGCTCCGCAATTACACAGGCGCGCACTTGCTCGCGATTTTTTGCTTATTGCCGCATAATCGACAAAAAACGATTCGAAGGTTGCTGCGCTTTGACGCATACATTAGAGATGAGAGGAAACGATTTCAAAACGCGAACAGCCAATAATAAAAGTTTAAATAATTGCGTTTCTGAGAAAATCACTTGATTTTTTACATTGAAAATAAATTTGGAGTTGTATAACGCAAGAATTTGTAGTAACAGATGCAAATTTTTATAGTTCAAAATAAAAGCACATATTATAATAATTTGAGGTATTATAAACATAATCAAATGGAGGAACTGTTATCAAATTTTAAATATTTGTCAGACGTGTTTACTGCTTTCATTTATCAAAATTGAATGGAATTAAATGGGATAGTTAGTTCGTTTTATAGAAAATTGTAATCTTCAAATTTTAAACTCAAATATGGAATAATTGTAATTTTACACAGCGAATTGTTTAACTTTCTCTCCTCGGACAATTAAAAGACGTAATATTGCAACAACCGTAAATCTTGCGCAAAAATGTCACCAGAAAGAATGCATGCCTTGAGATTTTTTTGCCCTTATACATACACATGCCGAGACGTACACTTAATGACAATTATTGTAAAAATGCCCACGCGAAACATGTCGACACTGCGCAGCTACTTGAAGAGTGCACTTCTCCAGTAGCGATCTGGAGAGCAGTGTGCGGCAGATAAGAGGAAAAATGGTTTTTCTTTCGGCATGTGTGTACTGAAAATACAGCAGTCTCATAATTGTGTAACATTCCTCGCTCGTGTGAGCACCACATCGAGAGACGTGCTCATTATGTTGCATCAATAACTCTTTCGGAGCTGCCGGCCGCTGAAAATGACTGCTGACTGACTGGCCATAATCATGCTCCTTAATTGTCCGCCTGTCCTTGATAGAGACGTTGCCCGTAATGAGCAGAGCAAACATTAATAATTTCGGAGAGACCAAGAAGAAGCCTTTTCACGGCACCGCGACTGTTAAACCTTTTCTCGCGCGGCACTTCTCTCTGCAATGAGAGAACGTGACGGATCCACGCGCCGGCCAGACACATTAGTCGGATGGTGAACCGCGCGGCTAATTGTTCGCCGGAACATCAAGGACTTATTATGCAATGTCCAGAATTTAAAACATTAAAAAATATCAAGATAGGAACAACGTCACTACATTTTTAAACGATTTTTATAATGCGATGTAGTCCCACATTGTTTTAAAACATTATGTGAGCAGATAATATTAAATTTGTAAAATTTTAGTAAGTCATTAATTGAAATAAGTTTTTGATTTAAAATTAAAAACTAAATTTGAATAAAATTTTCTGGTACTAATTTTTTTTGCTGCTTCCAATATTGCTATTCTAATAATAATGCAGATTTAAAGGTGCCGAAAACGTGTGTAGATGCGATAAAAATCTCTGCTTGGCCACACGCCCAGCGATGGCAAAGGCGAACCGCCGCCGCCTCTTCAAGGCGAATTCGCATTTTAAAATGTATAATCCGCGAGGTGTGTATGACCGAGAGCTCTTTCTGCACTGCATGTGGTGTTACACGATTCTCTTCTTTGCAAAACACACGCGCGCTCTATATTTGTATTTGGTTTCTTAAACTTGACACGCGCATTTTTTATCGCAGCATTTCGGCGCTCCGCCCTAGCCTGATGATGTCAGTCCAAATTAATTTGCCGGGTCACGCACCTAGAGTGTATAAAAATATTTATAATTAAAAAGCGTTTTATCGAATTGCGGGGCGCACGCCCACTCGCGAGGCAATTTTTCACGTGACGCACACACGGAGCCACAATTTGTATTAGACACGTGTGAGAGAATTATACTTTGCTTGCTTTTCTAGGGGCCATTTAAAAAGCGATTCCTGCCATCAGCGCCGGTGATGAATTGGCTCTAATTTGCTAGCTTGAAAGCGTGCAGAAAAAAATTAAAGCTTTGCTCGGGCGCAGCTCAAGGTGTGCACCGCTGGAGGCGAAAATTCATTCTTTCGGGTTCTCTTCTATATTAGCTGATCAACAACAAAGCAATTGCAAAATTAGGCAAAAAAAAATGTAACAAAAAAGTATAGGTCTTAATTTCAATTATTGAAATTATTTTGGCATGATTATAATTAAATTTTGATATATTTGAAAATTGAGGTACCTTAAAAAATTGCATTTTAAAAAAAAACATGTTCAGCTAATGAGAGTTGCATAATATCAACCCAATGAAATTTTAAAGAATCTTCCTCAAAATCTATAAATATGTTTTGCAAAATTTACTGATGTGGAGGAGTCACTCACACAATTTAATTACAAAAGTCATAGATTTCAAAAATTGTTATAAGTAAAAATAAAAACAACAAAATATCATATACCACATTAATTGTTTAAATTACATTATTTGTCGCTTCAGGCCCTGCCGTTCTCCACATTTATAAATAATATTATTACGGTTTTTAAAATTTGAAGCTTGTAATGCTTTTAAATAAAGCCAAAATATTGTAATAATTTTTTTAATTAAATATGCAGTATTTTTTATTTAATGAGATATGAAACTAATTATATAAAAAAAAAACTACTAAATTACAAAATTTAATTAATACTAAATATTTAATGTAAAAAATAAATATGTAAGTTCATTGAAAATTGGCTTGGTTATACTTTCATCTGCTATGACGTTTACGGCTGTTTTTATTTTACATTTTTTTAAAAGTAAGTTTAATTACGAAACTCATTCACTTATTAGAATTGTAACCAGTTAATCAACGTCAACGCAAAATTAAATTATTCCGTGGTCTTGTTGTCAAGGCATCGCTCGTGAGTGAAAAACAACAGCGTCGAGAGCCAGCTGGCAGGAGCAACGCAACGTAGAAGTGCTGCAGCAATATTTTAATAAAGGTCATCTCACGCTTGAGATCTCCTTGTGACTCCCACATGAATTAATTCACGACAGCCGGCGGGGAAGAAAAACGTGTTGAAATGCGAGGTGGCTTAATTCCGAGTGCGCCCAAAACGGACGCGTGGAATATAAAAAAAAATCACGCCGTGCCATCAAATAATGAGATGCGAGCTCACGAAATTCCCGGTCCCCGAAATAAATATGTACATTTAAAAAAGCCGGGCACGGAAAATAACGCGTGCTGCGGATGCTCGTTTGAACCCGGAGCTTTCCAAAAGCAGTTCTTGACACCTGTGCACACAATCGTAAAGAGCCAGCGCGTCGCCTATACCTTTATATATTATTAAAACCCTTTCTTTCCTGCTTCACAGACCTCTCTATTCCGAGACGAATGAGTTTGAAAACTGGATCGGAGAGAAGAGATGAATTATTTCTTTATAACATTGGTCACAAGCTGTGTCAATGCTTGAAAGTGGATCTTCCTGCTCCAAGCCTTGATTGAGAGATTAAAGATTGAAAAGATTAAATATAATATATAAATATTGTGGCTGTAGTTTAAAAAATATTTAGAAATGCATAATTATTATTCTAAATGGAAATTTTTTGCAATATATACGATTAACTGCCCTTGAGAGGAATTGTATTTTAGATCGGTTCAGCTAGGAAACCGATCCTTTTAATTTAGTTTTTGTAGCCCCTCTTGAAAATAGAATTATTCTGATTTGTTTCATTGAAATGCACTGTTAATATTTGGGTGTTTTCATAGGAAAAAATTGAGCAAAATTATTATTTTTATTGGCAATCGAAGAGATTTAGAACAACTTTATTGGTATAAAAACCGCAAATGATAAACGAGTTTATTACATTGTTTTTATACCTAATGCAAGTAAAAATCTTATCATTTTTAACTTGCAGTTTCTCAAATGGTAGCAATAATAAGGAAGTCGTTGTGCTACAACAATCAGAGTAACAATACAGGATTGCGTTGTGTACCTGCATCTGTGCACTTCGTTCAACTTTTTGTTGGACCGGCTGTCAAAACCGCACAAATGGAATTCAACTAACTCTAAAGAGTCGAGGTGGTTGGTTACATGTTTAAATCTTTCAAGGGTTGACACTCGATAAGATTAATTGAACGGCAGCACTTGAGCAGTTGATATGCCGTGATTTCCACTTGAGATTAAAGGTACAACCCTCTCCCTTGAAACTTGAACAATAAAAACTTTTGAAATGAATACTGTGACTTTTGAGAGAGAGGAGTGGCGTGGCAATTAAAAATGTTTCTCTCTCCACTGAACACAACATCAATTGCGACGGGATCAAGGGAGAGCAAAAGGGGGAAGTTGAATCAAAAGTCTTTTGTATACAAGGTTCCAAGTTTACCGTGAAGAAGATATTTAATAACTACATATTTTCTGTTTAACAAATAATGATAATATTAACAATTCTGCAATGAATTCTGTGCTAATTTGATTTTCTGAAGACACAATGCAACGTGAGTTATCTTATTAGCCAAACGATAAGAATGGAATTTGCTACGAAATTTATTTATGCTTTAAATTAATTCAAATTTCATTATTTAAGTAAAATTTGCGATGATACAAGTGTATTTTTTTCTTATGTGTTTGTAATAATAATTATTTCAAATAAAAGATAAATTAATTATATAATTCAATATATTTATATAATTCAAAAGAATATAAAAAAAATAATAAACAATCTTTAAACAAAAAAGTCAATCTTTATATAAGCACTAAATTTAGAAGTAAATACAAACAAATTCTTCCGACTCTCATTGAAATGTTGTTTTAACTTTTATGTTTAGATATTTTTTCGTGCTACCCCAAAAATTAAACCAATCAAAACACTCATGTATATTTCTATCAGATTAACAAAATATAGAAAGGTTCAGGGTGGATAAATAAATCGCTTCCAGGGTGGTCTGGCGCTCACGCCCTTCTGAACCTGAGAAGCCCTACAGGAAAGGAGTCGTCGAGTTTGAAAATCAACGACGTTTAATTTTGATACTTCCACCTATCAAATGACAAAGAGGATATCTTCGCTCCAATGCTAAAATGCAGTTCTATGTTACATTGTATTATAAAAAAGTAAAAAAATACGCATCCAACGCGCAGTTCAAAGATTTCGCTTCTCGGCGCCGCTCCGATTAAAATCTCAGCGATATAAACGTCAAGCTTAAATAAAGTTTTAACCGCAAATTAGCATTATAAATTTTTCTTTCCTCGTGTTGTGTCTCGCGCTTATATCAACGTCACAAGGAGAGCAAGATTTTTTTCTTCTCAGCGGGTTGGTTTTATAATTAACTGGTTAATTATGGCAAAGGCGCAGGAAGGAGAGCACTTCGTTTAATATGAGAAAAAAAATTTGCCGTAAAAATAACTCTCAGGGGAGAGAAATAGCCAGGCAGCTCATTAGCGGATTATAAATTGAGTTGTGTGCGCCGAGAACAGAAGTCCAATTATAGATCATTCTGCGAGCACTTTGGGAATTTCCTCTCCTCATGAATCTCGTGGTGTTTTCTTTATTGCAAAACTTCTTGTATATATTTTACAATAATAAATTATGAGACTGTCGTCCAGTCGAAATTTTTATATGAAATGCGCCGTTTTTCTGGGAGGGAAAAATTTGGCCGGTTTTGGGTTTCAACGTGCGGTGAAATTTACGATCAGGGTGGCTTTTTAATGAATTTATAGGCGTCATTGACCAATAATTTGTGTCGCCGGACAAGATTTCGGCGCCAGATTAAATATACATCGCACGAATACCTTTCGGAGAAGCGTGTGGGAAAATCGTTCCGAAGCAGAGAATATATTGAATTTTTTGGTGAAATTGATTTTAAATTTAATCGAAGTGAAATAAATGTTTTTTATGAACTTCAAAAACTCGTAAAATGATGAAAAAATATATAATTTATATAAAACTGGTGGTTTTGTTCAAGAATTTATTTGACAGCTTTTTCATTAACACCAGGCACAATTTATATTACATTTTTCTTGCCCGGCTGCTTATCCCAATTTAATTCCATTGACGTATTTACGAGGTTTTTTTCATCTCCTCGCTCAAAGGTTAGTGCACCCTGCAGCGTGCATTATTATTAAGAGAATGCAGCTGACGCTTCTCCACTTATCACATCAGGAAGCACCCTCTTCGAGTTTTTCTTTTTTAAATTCTTTTCCTATCCATTATACGTGCTCATTACGTTCCTTAAAAAAGATGCATAGATTTACCGTTCCAAATTATCAGCGATGATTCTCCTTTATTTGAGGGAGTGACGCGCGCCCTTTGTACGATTTGTTTAGAAAAGCGTCCTATTCTATTATTGGACTGGAAGTAAATGAATGAATGAACTCTGCCTGCACATTGACAGGAGCAGAGTGCGTTTTTTCCTGCCTAACGGGACTCTTGTTGGTCTTTTTGCGGCCAAAGATCTTGGAATAATGCAATTGAGGTTGAGCATTTCAAGCCAAAAGACAGCCAAATTATAGAATACAATATTGATTTGAATTATTGTTTTAGATAATATGAAGTAGAATTAGTACAAAATTAATTGAAAGTGGAAGAAAATACAAAAAATTGAGGCTTAAATTCAATATTTTTTTTATGATTTAAAATTTAAATATTTTATATATCTTTCACTTTTTCATCGAAGGAATTCTTAACAGAAATCCGTTTTCTTTCCAAATTAATTACATAAGAGCAAATTTTAGCTCAAATATCCATTTTGGATAAATGAAAATATGTAGATGTTAAGGAATTTTAATTAATACCATTATTATAATTATCTATTATAAACTTTTTTATGGGTCTAAAATTTATTTGATAATTTACAAATTAGAGCATTGAAACTCTGAATGAGAATTATTTTTTCAGTGCTTTCAGCTATGTATTGACAATTTTTCTAGGCGCAGGCCTACAAAATTGGTTGCGTCCCTGAATTTGACGGGACGAACGTCACCAAAATTTAGTCCACGTCATGGCAGCAGGCACGTGCGAACATTAAGCAGATATGATTGATTGCAATAAAAAAATACACTTTTAAGTATTATTGCTTATGACGCGGTGGGTTTTTCACCTAATGTCTGTCGTTGGGTATAAAAAGAGTGAAAAGTTTTTGGAAAAACATCTTCTGCAGCTGGAAACAGGACAGAACTGCGATAGTAGCCATGAAGAGTCTTCTGGTGTCTGCACTTTTGCTTGCACTGCTGGTGCAGGTGAGTATTTTATTTTTTAAATTTAAAATTTTGAAATATTTATATTGCGGATGAGTTCAGTGAAAGAGAAATTTCAAATAATTCCCGAAATGCTGCGATAAATTTTTAACTAGCCTGTTTCCAAAAATCTAAGTTAAGGAAACAGAAAAACTAATGTTAATTTTGAATTCAAATTTTATTTGTGTAAAAAATAAGTTTAAAATTATAAATTTCAAGGATAAACTTGAATACCGGCATTAATTAAAACGCAAAAAATTGAGCAAAAAAATATTTGTTATAGCTTTTTATTTAACAAAAAGTGACAAAAAGTCTAAAAAAAATTCATGTGCATGAAAAAGATTGGGTGATAAATTTGAAATTTTATTTGATTGTATTAAAATGCTAAAAATCAAAATCAGGCTTTTGCTGCGCCTCCGAAACCAAAAGCTAAGAGCAAGACCGGCTCAAAACAGACCAATGTGATCAACAAGCAAGTCTACGGTGCGTCTGGGTCCGTTTCTGTGTCCGTCCTGGGTCAGTTCAAGCACCACGTCAGCGTGGTCTATGACGCCTCAAAATTCTGCGGCGGTTCCATCATCTCACCCAACAAAATCCTGACTGCGGCCCACTGCGTCCAGTCAAACTCGATATTTCAGTTGGGCACCATTCTGGTCTGTGCTGCGCGCTTGACCGTCACGTCCCTTTTCACGGCCGAGGCTGGAGCCTTTTGCTCTCTGACGACGTCCAAAATCATCCACCCCAAGTACAACAAGACCAACCTTGATTTCGACATCGCCATCGTCACCCTTACCGCCGGAGACCTGACATTCAGCTGTGAAAAATTTTGATTACGAGATTAATTTTTTATAATTTTTAAATTCAGCAACCATTGGTGCCATTCGCTTGCCAAGCTTCACTGATGTTAACAACGCTTATGTTGGCGCTTCGGCTGTTGTTGCCGGCTGGGGATGGTTCTCAGCAAGTAAAAAAATTTTGAGCTTTTAAAAATCTACAAATTTGAATGTATAAGATTTTATTATGAAACCTGCCAAACAAAATCTCAAACTTGGGTAATTTTAAAGAAACAAATTTTTGGTAAAAATGACCACAATCCTGCAAAGTTTAAATAGAAACTAAGGAACTAAGAACTAAAATCTTAATCAATCTCAAGTATCTGTAAAAATGTCAACGCAAAATTCTTTATAGCCGGCTACGTCAGCACTCAGTTGCAATACGCAAATTTCTCCATCGCCACCAATAGCAACTGCTCGGTCTACTATTCTAACAGCAACAACGTCACCGTCAATAATTCGACCACTTGCATCATTCCCTCAGGAGGAGCTGTCATGTGCACTGTATGAATTTTTTTTAACCAAATTTCTGCAAACTTTAGAAATAAAAAAACAGGCTGATGCTGGAGGTGCCGTTTTAATAAAGGAAGCGGATGGACTTTCCACGATATTTGCTGTTGCCACCCAAACCAGCGCGTCGTGCAATGTCACAACACCCCAGGTCAGTTACAGAGTCGGTGCTTATGCAGCCCTGGACTGGATCCACAATGTCACGCTGATTGCCCGACGTACTTAAAAGTGATTCAGTAAAGAATCAAGAGTTTTGTTTGAATCCTTTTTAAATTAAAAAGCAAATGTTGAACAAATAAATATTGGCTAAAACATAATATAAAATGCAATACATAAAAATTGTCTTTGAATATTATTGCAACTTCCAACCATAGAATAATTATAATCATTTATTTAACCTCAGCCAACATTTACGCTTTTCAAATAAAATGAAAATCAAATACACGAATGAAAAATTAATTTTAGTTGCAACACACGCTAAATTCAAATTATGGCTTTTTAACACTACAATGGTGGTTTTATTGTAATTAAATATTTAAAATTAATAAAGACACTTTTGCAGCTAATTGCAATAAATTTTTCATTTTGAACTTTTACAAATAGGTGATCAGATCTCACACTTTACCATCTATGCCGTTGAGCCCCAATCAAAGATTAAAAAAGAGAACACACTTTTTTTTTTTACTTTTACGAATTTGACATCAATCCATTCTGCTCGTTCAAAAGCAACAAATTACAACTTCTGTGTCTAGAAAATAGATGGATGGTTAATGCATTTCATTATAATTACATGAGTGTCTCCAGAACAGTTCTAAATTTTTTGTTCCTATCAATTTTTTTGAAAACTTTCAAATTGGATAATGCCACCAATTTTATGACTTAATTCGAAAAAAAAAAATGAATATTAAACAATCTCTAGTCTGCTGGTTGAATACAAAGTATCAAAATCATTGAAGCTTTGGATAAAAAAATAGCGTCCAGAAGCTGCTTCAGCCGAGCCCGAGGGTAAAACAAGCTAAAAACTTCACGCCGGCCGGCCGTCGGTCACTTACACTCTCTGCCGTCTCTCTTTTTTATTCTGCGCTAGACACAGAGATGTGTATTTTTTACTCATTGACATAATAACCGGTTGTGCGATCTTCATTGTGTACACACGGTTGCGAGCCGCACTCGTAATTACAATGATTAAGCGAACCGAACTTTGAAAAATTGATTAGCATTGCGAGATTTTTATATCCCTACGCACATTATTTTTTCCTACATAATGACAAGGTGTTGCTGCTCGGAGTGCTGGTGTGAGTTTGTTTGAACTTCATCAAGTCACTGCTGTGTAATTATCTCACACCGATTTCAGAAGCCGACCAACAAAAAATTATGTTCGTTTTCTGGTCGCAGCGTGGAGTTTTTTTTTGCCCATCCCTTGTTATATGCCTCCGCCCTGATGTTTTTCGATAGAATTAATTGTGCAGGTGAGAGGATTTTCCACTTCATTTGAATTACCTTTTTTGTTTTTCAATGTAGAGATGAACTTTAAATACTTAAAAAAAGATATATTATTAAAAAAAGCTACGGAAGAAATAAACAAATAAGTAATACATACATGCATTATTAAATAGCTGTAGCATGGACGAATTGAACCATAAAAACTAAAATCTGAAGAAAAAGATTCAAATTGTGGAAACATGCATTTTTTCAAAAATTGTTCAGCAAAATACAAATATTTTGCAATTAATGTTTCTAAAAAGTTTGTACAGATGAATTCAAAGTAATAAAATTGAAGAAATCAATAAAATAAAATGTAGCACAACTTAATTTTAACTGATTGAAGAACCAATATTTTTAAAGCTTAAATAATTCAATTAATTTAATAAAAGGGAAATGCTATTCAAAAAGTTACTTCAACTTAACTTTTTTTGCGGTAGGCGCAGAGATTTGACTTGCATTGGAAGTATTATTTACCAATTTATTTTTCATTTCTTTCGCGCGGGGCATTGACTAAGGCAGGAAGCGTGCGGCACGAGGGATTCGCCATCATCATAATAAATCACACTAAAAGTGTTTTGACAGATTTTGACACAAACGCAAGTGTCGGAAATGAGAATTCGTTTTGCAGGAAGCCAATGGAAAATTCGGCGTACATCAAACGAATAAGGGAATTTGTTAGAGTTTGATGCAGGACGTCGGCGCCGAAAAGCGTTTTGAATAATAAATGGACTTCGTAGTGAGAGTGAACAAAAAATACAACATGCAAGAGATCAAACTCTGCGTGAGCATATTCCGACGGAATAAAATGTAAAATGCACCTTGCCTCTCGTATAAATGTTCTAAAACGGACTGCCGTCTCTCTCGTTCGTTCAAATTTATTGCTGGGCACGAAGCGTTACACCGAGAATAAAATCCCTGCTGGGACTTTGTGAGAGCGCGGCTCCTTAACCCTTCCGTGTCTAATGATGTGGTGCGAGCCACTGAGAAATTAAAATATTTGGCCTGTCACCATATTAAATTCATTTTTCTCATCACAATCAAGTATGGCGAACTCATAAGTTCTTATTTATTAAATTAATTAATATTTTTTTAAGTTATTTAATTTTGAGAGGGAAAAAAATTTTGAGATGAAATTTAATATAATAATAATTAATTGATAATGCCAATATTAATATAAATCGATATATGAAATTGTAAGAATATGGACAAATAAAGAACAATAAATTTTGCAACGATTCTGACAAATTATTATTCAGCCGGGCTATGTTTCAGAATGAGAAACACGCACTTTTGTCCATTTGTTATTTTGCGCAGACCGTGTAATTTTATTTTATTGATACCTGCTGGCCTAATAGATTATTCAAATAGCTCTACATTACTTTTAATGAGCGACAAACAGACGATCAACTCTTTATATCTGTTAGTCTAAAATTAGTTTTTTTTTTCTTTGGAGGCGTAGAAGATCCTATTAACCGTCGCGAAACAAATCATTCTCATGTACCAAAAGACGAGTACGTGCGAATTTTCGAGGTCCAGCTGCCAGAAGAGTGTTCTTGTCTCTCTCGGCGAGAGCGAAAATTTAATCAGGGCCATTAACAGAACGGCGAGAGAGCGATGACTATTAAAAATTTTCAATCATGCGGGCACATAACCTGTGTTTTTATAATTTACAAGTCAAATAAATTAAATTTTAGTGCCGCTGCCGTAAAAAAATGCTGCATCTCATTTTCTCGGAGGGCACAGGTGTATGTACCTGTGAATTTCCAATCTTGATTATTTATTCGTCTCATAAATAAATTTTACGTATCAAAGAGAGATCTGATAGCGGCTATCAAGTGACCATAATATTGATTTGATCAGATCTAAAAGAAGCGAAAGAAAAGGATCAGGAATTTTAAGTGCGCAGAGATTGAATTCGGATGCGATGAGACTCTATGAGGGGCGGGATCGGACTGGAAACAAATTTGTGGCTCTGTTAACCTTCACAAATTCCATTAGTTATAAACAAAATTTGGACAATAACAAGACCGCTGCTAGATTATTTTAGAGGCTTTATATATAAACACAAGTAAATTGATAAGAATTTTAATTCTTACATTACATGCACTTTTTTACTATCTAATTAAATTCAAAATTTTATTTCATATCACAAAAGTTACTGTTGAAAGGGTTTGATTGCCTGGATTTGAATTTTATTAATTATAATATCAATAAATTCGCTTTCATTTTTATAACTTGAATTAGACAATTTTTGGATAAAAATTTGAAAAATTAACAGGATATAATCAAATAAATAAAAAAAATTTAATAAAATTTTAATAAAATTTAAAATGATCACTAAATAATGTCACTGTTGAAACTTCCGCTATATTTAATAAAAAAAATTAGCTTTTAATGTTAAATAACGTTTAATCGTTTTATATTTTTAAATCTTGGTCAAAGGTCTTGTAGGGTGAAAATAAAAATTACATTAAATATAAAATTGGTTACTGGCGCCAGTTTTACATATTCCACTTCGATAAATAACTTGAGGTGCAACTTCAAGTATTAGAAAATTTGCCTAATTGTAAGTGACGACACAAGCATAAAATATTTAAGTTCTTGTAAATATCTAGGTAATTAAATTAAATTTTTAGATTAATCTCTTGCGTTTGAAAGAGGAATGGGTTTCAGGTCCTAAATCCAGCAAAAGTGATGAACTTGTGTGTTTTCGTCAGTGACCTTGTGCGCCGCATTCGGGGCCAAAGGTTGGCACTGAAATATTACACACATGATATCAAGATTATTTCTCAGCTGTCTCGGGTAACAAATAACGTTGAGCAATACTAATTGTTTATTATCCCGTGTCATGCTATTCATTATTTATCCGGCCTGCGCGCGAGCGAGCAAAAAATTTATACGTTTCTTATTATTGGAGAACGCTTTAATAAAATGAAAGAAAACCACTTGTCTCTATACCAGCATTTCTCTGAGGACCAAAATTTATTCTTTTAAATTCAAGCAGGCACGTCTAAATTATCGGCCGCGTGAAGTGGACAGACAAAAAAAAAATTAATGGCGGGGACAAACATTAGTCCACATAAACGCACGATCATATTTCTAGGAAATCGACGTGTGGTCACCGCACAAAGAAGCGAAACTTTTACAAAAAGACGCCCAACTGTTCTCCTTCTCGAGGCCGAAAATATTCCTTTTTCGAGAGTGTGTTTGCCTCTAATGAGAGATAATGCAGCGTTCAGCTGAAAAATCCGAAGCTCCCGAGAGCAGCAGATTGAATCGTCAAGAGATGATAATTATTTTTTGTAGGAGCTAAAAAAACTGTCATTATTATAACAGAAGAAATTCCACAAAAATATTTATACAAATAACGCTCCAGGTGGCTGCGATTTCCTGAAAACTTCTACAATGGAAAATACTTTTGACGGATTCAAGTGAAATTTTGCATCATAATTACGATTTTCGAGCGAATGAGCACGATTTAAAAATTAGTGCCACCTGTCAAAACATAGTAAGCGTCTTATTTCTTTGAGCGGATGATATGATTTTCTCTAATTTTTCCCATTAGAAGCTAGAAAAAAAGCATGAGAATGTTGGTTATTTTTAAATTTGTTTATCTGAAATTTTCTGGATGAATGGAACAAAATGGAACAAAATGAGCAAATGAAACTAAAAATAGCCTCCTAACTGAGCTGTTTGTGGGAGTATTGGATAGAATTTTTTTTTGTTAATTTGATTTTATACATTTCGAAATGTGCAAACGTCTAAGTATTTTTGAGGGTACCAAAAAAAATTTTTTTAACTAAAAGAAAAATATCTTATGGCTAAATTTTTCAATCCAATGCAATCATTAAAATTCTTGAGTGGCTTAATAATTTCATCACATTTTTATATGAAATGATCTAAAAATATGGGGGGGGGGGGGGTAGAAGTTTCCTAACTAAGTGGAAATTGGCAAAAATGGAAGTTGGCAAATAAATAACATGGAGGCAAAAGGTGGGGCCAGGGTAGTATGGGGAGGAAATGGGCAGCATCGACACATGATTTGACAGTCATTGAAGCCAATGAGTGAATGCTGGGGTTCCACAAAGATTTAATTGCAGGTGGAAATTACGAGTTTTAATAATGAAATTAAGAATCGCACGATTTAATCGAGCCGCGCGATTTAAGCGAACCGCTCGAGTCAAGCGAGTCAAGTCCCTCAAAAAATAAATAATCGAATTATTTATTTTTTTTCTTCATTTCTGTATAAAAACTGGCACGAATTTAAATCACATAGATCAGATCGAAAGAAGCAAAATGTGACACTTAGAATCAAGAGTTAAAATATCAACTGGTTCTACAAGAAACGCTTTGGTCTTTTTCTAAATTTTGTTTTTAGCGTCCGACTTGTTTGCAAATTATACACACAGGATAAATTAATATAAGGTGCGCCGTGCGTAATTTTCATCGCCTTTTTTGGCGAGCAGACGTAATCAAATATTCACTCACTGCGCGCCGGCCGCGTCGGGTAATAACGCCAATAATTGGCAGGCACGCCACGGACTAATTGATGACCATGCATGAAAAGTGATTAGCTCGCGGAGCCAAACGGAAAAATTTGCTTCTTCTCAAGAGAGATGATCTCATTCGCTGCATGCCAGTTTGCATTTAAATTCCCTGGCGTGCTGCGAGCCAATAAAAGATCAAGTTTCGCCTTGAATCGGTAAAAAATAATTAGCGTCGATTTGCATTATACCATACACCTGATAGCTCACAGGGCGAGATCAATTTCAGATTCCCATAAACTATGCCACAATTCCCAAAATAAATCAAGGCGCTTCCAAATTTCTCTCACACGGAATATTTGTGGTCAATGTTGATTTCAATCGAATGTTTTCCCAATAATTTTATCTACGCTATTTTAAAATGTAACTCACTCAAATTTTTTGTCCAACTCCAAATTTCTTTTAGAATTCAAGGTTTTCCATCTAGTCCTAACTGATATCGTTTGCTTCAACACCACTTATAGATGTTTTCTTGCAGTTGCATATATCTACTTTTTTTTAATTAAAAAAATAGAGAAATAAACTTAAATAGATTGTACTCACCAATAATCGGTGAAGTTGGCACAGAAGGGGAAATTCCTGTAATCAAAGTTTTTAATAATGAATTTTTTTCCTTAATAAAATTAACAAAATTGAATATGTTTTATTGTTTTAAAAGCGGCTGATTAAAAAAATGAATATTATGGGAAAAATATTTGGATCGATCCAAATATTATTATTTCCACGCACAAGTCACGACGTGAAAGGAATTTTTTCTCCTGTGGGAAGCTGGAATCCGCATTCCCACACGCGGTCAATTTCAAAGATGAGTAATGTCTGTTCGTAATTGCGCTAACAGGTGTTTTGTACACACACATGCGAAAGCCGCGCGCTGCGGTGATGTATCGCGATCGTGCACGACGATCGTGCCGCGGCGCGGGACGCGGGGTGCAACTTTTCTTCAACTTCTTTTTGGCAGAACATCCGTCACTTCGCTGTTCCCGCAACACGAAAACAATAAATTATCCTCCTCGTTTGCAGCAGATTGCACCTTTCGATGTGGCGAATGATCAAATTTATTGGCGCTACTTTCCACTCCGAGTTTGTTCAAAGCAGGCAAAAAAAACCTCACGTTTGCGTTTGGAGAAAGGAAGATATTGGCAGGCACCCCAATGGAAAATGAACTGAAGTTGCACTGGTTGCATAAGCGCACTAACTATATTATATAAGATTATTTTAGAAATGAGATAAACGAGGAAGGAAAAATATTTTTATAATCTGAATAGAACATGGGATTGTTTTGTCTAATCAGAATCAAAATCAAACAACCTGCCTTGGGCTCTAAAACGAAATGAATGTTTATAAATTATATTTTATTCAATTGAAAACCTTTTTCTAGCTAAAATATTTGCACCTACATTTTGGCAGCTAAATACCGGCCTCTTCCCACGTTTCCCGCAAGAAACTGTGCCGCGTTTTTTTTTCTCAGCCGATCTGCGTTTGGTCAGACGGCTGCCTTACTTTGATTTCTCCCATTTCTATCTCGCATCCATCACGCATCATCGATCGTGAGATCTTTCTCTTCAAAAGTAAGCAGTAATGACTACCCTCTGGAACGAAAAACACGATCGATATAACTTGGCGTAAATTAATAATTCCTCTAACTCGCCGGTGTGAGAACGGAATTTTCGGCCGCGTGTGTGCGCGAGTAATGAAAAAGAAAAAAAAATATTCGTGCAGCGTCCGCCGCGGTGAGAAAAATGAACAAACACCTGTTGCATGAATTTTGTTTGCATCGCTACTGCTAATACACGTCATGCACGTGAGTTTGCCGGTGTGAGAAAAAGACGCCGATAAATAATCTAAGTTTGAGCCGTCCGTGATGGCGTGCGTATAATGAAATTAATATACAGGTGGCCCGTAATTTGGCCAAATTAGTTTCTCTTTATGTGAGAGGTCTACTAATGCTTAAGTAATTTCCTTCTAATTGTATTACAAATATTTCACATGTGTTTATGTGGCTACATGATATAAATATATATAAAATTTGACGATATTCTAATGGGTTCTATTAATACAACATTGAATTTTAACGCTCAAAATAAAATTAATGGGGATATATTTATAATTCAAAGCGCAATCTCAATTAATGGAAAAAATTAACACATAAAAGCAATGAAAATTTGGCCAAAAAAATAAAAATTAAAAGTACATCAAAGATATAAATCAAACAAATCCCTGGCTGAATAAATATTACAATTAAAATATAAAATAATATATTTGACTTACTAAATAGTTTACGATAAGTTAAATTAAAAAAAAAGTAAAATCATAAATGTTTTTTACAATTAAATTTAAAGATCAAATAAAGATTATGCAAAATTAATGCTTGCTACAATCAAATCAATAGTTTTATCAAATATTTAAACTTAAAACTTCGGCCCTCATTATTCTTGAAATTTTGTATTTAGAAAAAAAACGCTGTATCAGTTGGTCACAGAGAATATCTCCTCAAGTTCCTATAACACATCTCTCATATTATTTTTATACGCACACATTGAGTGGAATTTCCTTAATTTGCCTCAGATTTTTCTACTTCACCTATTTTATCAAATGAAAAGTCCATAGTCCCATTCATTGCTGATACGGTGAGTGATTCATATCTTTCAGCTGATCTCCGACGGACCGGAGCGCACGCAGCTGCGCGTGTCTCGAAGGCTTTTTACTCGTCTTTAAAGGGCGGCGTCTTTTTAATACATTATTTTCCTGTCCATCCGTCTCGTTATTGCTCCTTTGAAGGTGGCTAAATCACCGCTGCATAAGCTGCTGATCCTCGTCGCACATGGCCAGTCACACATCTCGAAAATATCACCATTAAGGTTGCCGCCGCGTGCTGTGGTGTTATTTTTTCACTTTCGATTCTCCCGCAGAATTCAATGTGTATTTTTGTTATTTCGCGCGGCTGAGATAATAATCTCGCTTTGCTTTGCCAACATCACGTTTCGGATTTCACGCCGAAAAATTGTATGCGTTTCTTCCTGTTCTTCGGTAAACACGTGCGTGCTGGAGAAAAATCTGGGCAATATTTTGAAATTTCACGCCTCTTGTTTGAGCAATGAAACTGCAATATTTCATCGCCAGGCCGAGGAAAAAATATAGCTCGTCTCTCTTTTTTGGCCGTTGCGGTCAAACGTCAGTGCACATAAAATTCGTTTAACAAAACGAACTCGGACATTAAATCAGTGTGTATAATAAATCGAAAGTTGCGGCTGTTTAAGGTAATGTTATCGCGCGGTCCTGTTTAGGCACAATTTACAATCGACTCGTCCAGTTTCGCAAGGTCGTAAAAGCAAATTGCATGTTGCGAGTTTACTGTAGAATCCGCGGCGTGTTATTTTCGCGAGATTCTATCAAATAAAAGAGAAGAGAAGCGTGCGTGCACCCTTTTGTGTCCAAAAGTGGAGCGAAAAGCATTCCTTCGCAGATGAGCCGCGATTAAGAACAAGAATAATAAATAAAATTCAATGAACTCAACTCGAAGAGCCATGAGCTTAGGCATTCTGTGGCAGATGGAGTCGATATTAGCAACATGACTATGACAGTTTTCATCAAAGCTGCTTATTATGCCATTTAATGTGATTTTAAGATTGTTCTTAAATCGGAATGAAAAAAATTGGACAAATTTGAAACATTTCTTGTATAGTGATATTTTAAATTAAATCACATTCTTATGAACAATAGCATTGTATCTTATGCTATTTCAGTTCAACTGCGTTCATCAATAAACTGAATTTCAGACGTTCACATGACATAATATGCATAAATTAAAAAGTCTTTTATAACATTAACAATCGTTCAAGACAGACGAAGCAATCTCGGCTTCCTTAATTGTCTCTGTAATGCGTGATGCATAAAATGCAGCAAGTTTGTGCCATCTTGCTGGAATTCTGTAATTTCTTGAGACACTAATGGGAATTTTTTGGTATTTAAAAAGAACACAAGTTTAAGTAATTAATAAAAAGATTAGAAAATTAAAAAAGAATCTGCGAATAATATTTAACAGGAAATAAAATAGCCCAACAATGACTCTCGGCTTCAAGAACAGATGATTTAGTTGCAAATGTGTTTTTACTTAATTTTGGGTTCAATTATAATTTTTTGCATTTATAAGTTAATATTCTTACTTAATTGCCTCAAATATATTAAAAGAAAATTTTGAAAAATTATTTATTATAATCAAATTATCAGATATAATACTTATAATTTACACTTTTGAAAAAATATAACTTTTAAGTCAAATATAAAAAATACAGTTTAAACGTTTCAAACTCCTCAACGCACGTTCACATTGTAATAGATTGGCAAATAAAATTTAATCAAAATTTGGCCACCTCAGAATTTTTATCGGATTTGTTTAACGGCGCAGATCTCACCTGGCGTGAGTTTCATCAAATGTAGTTTAGACCATTTGAATGCAAATCGGCGACCAAGGTGGCAATTGCTATAATATGGTAATGGCGCAATAGCTTTGCACTCGCCTCTCGTCGCGTGATGGCTTGTTTATTTATTTTGCACATTAGAATGATAATTGCGGAGTGGCGACGGCGCGGCCGATGGTTTTTTCCAATTAGACGAGACTATAAATTTGCGCCCAATTGCTCCTCTTGCCTCGAAATGGGTCGGCAGCGGGTTATGTGTAAAATAAATACTAACACCGCACTAGGACCGCCGTTTGATGTGACATTTATAATTTGTATGCATAATTATGTGAGTGAAATTTGCATACTTCAGAAGTGTTCTCCTTTCAACACCGAACGACTCTATTGAGTGTTAAAATATTCAAATTAAATTAAGGATGAAATTGAAAGATACACATTTTACTCCAACGATTACGTTTTAATCGGTTTAAAGTTGGAATTAGTCTTAACTAAGTTAGCCAATTAAAAATCATAATGTTTTCTTATCAGATGATTCTTTTATTCAGAAAAAGAAAAGAAGACTCAAAACGTATTGACTTTACATAAGTATGCTTCTTATATTTATCAAAAACAATTTTTATGAAAAGAAAAAGGCTTCAAAGCGCGGCAATTTTTTTCATAATATAACATTGTTGAGATTTAATATATAGAAAAAAATTTATTGCAAGATCAAAGCAATTAACTCTGGAAAAGAAAGCTTGTGAGGCGGAATTTCGCCTGCTGTTTGTAAAAAGTGTATCATGTGGGTGAAAATGTTGCTTTTTTGTGCAGAAAACAAACAAGTCACGCCGAAAGCCATGTTTCACGCGCGTCCTGTGCAAGAATTATATAAAGGCATAAATCTGATTTTATCTGGAAGCAGCTAGGAAGTTTCGTGCTGAGTTTTTTTCTCCCAGAACACTCGGTTTTTAATGAAATTATATCAGTCACACAAAAGCAGCCGCGACGACTGCTTTTTGTGTGAACACGCTGTGAAAGCAGCATCTTGGCTGATGAGACTTTTCACCACCACGTCTGAGACTCTAGGAAATGAAGAGATTGCCGCTGCAAGATTGTAAATTTCCTTAATATGAGACAAGATTTTTATTCCATAACGAGCTCGCACTATTTTCTGAATTATAT